AGGGGGGGGGGGGGGGCACGAACAGGCAGCCCTGACTCAGCAGCAAAGCAGGGCAGGCTGGCAGTAGATGGGAAGCCAGAGTGGGGAGGAAAGGGAAACGCAGTTCTGCATGGCAAAGCCTCAGACCTTGGGTCTGGTCCTGCTGGCAATCCTAAGGCAAGTTACTTAAGCTCCTGGGCCCTTTAACTGGTAGGGATAGCACTTTGCAAAGCAGGTGATGAGACTAAATGCTTGTCAGACATCAGGTCTTTGACAACCAGGAGCTTCACTCTGAGAAGCAGCCACCTTTCCAAGAAGCCGGGAGCACAGTGCAGGGTTAACACTAGGGATCTAGATTAGACTGAGAAGGAAGCAGTGCAGAGAAGCCCTCCTTCAGTCTGGTGGCCCATAGTCCCATTTCCCCATCACCATGGCAGGATGTGAGAAGCCACAATGTGGGGCTTAAGTGAGGTGGAGAAGTCAGGTAACCAGGCAGAGTAAGTTAGCGGGTGGCTGGGCATATTCCCAGGTATTGGGATATCTGGCCCCGTGTCTCTCTCCTCTCCACTCTCTAGGGTGGTATGGTCTCGAGATGATGCAGAATATGGGTAGTAGCCTATGGGGGACCTGGACAGCCATAGATCCAGGTGTCCAGTCAGACCTGAATTCAAGAAATGGGCTGGTATGGTGTATGGTTTCCAGACGTGCACACTGACTACATATGGAACTACAGAGACAAAGGAAGCTGAGGCCCTGCTCACCTTGGCCAATACCGCCACAAGTTTTTTCAGGGCCAGTAGGCGCTGTCCTTCCAGAACTGAGAACTTTCCCACTTCTACGAGAAAGATGTAATGTAGTGAGGATTCCAGGTCGGCCATGTAGATCCTGGCGCTGAGGATGGAGAGGAAGCGGAAAGAGAAGGGCGTTAACCTCAGAGCAAGAGCTCAAAGGAATGTTGGCTGCTTCTCAACCTCGGCCTCCTGACAGCTGGTTCTGGCCTCAGCATGATGGTGAACTAGCTTTATGGATTTAGGTAATCCCTAGTCCCTGAGCTACTGCACTTGTAAAATTAAGCAATCATTCTGCCTCTTGAAGGTAGACAGACAACAAGGCCAGCTGCCAAGATGGGCAGTGACTACTTACACTTCACTCTCAGGCCAAATCGCCACTGTGGTGTCCTCTGGCCTCAGTTTACCTCACCATTCTGACATTCTGCCTCCAGAAGTGACCTCATTGGTCTGGAGAGATAGCTTAGCAGTTAAGAGACTGTACAGTTTTTCAGAGGAGCCTAGTTCAGTACCCAGCACCCATTCCAGGCTGTTAATAACCTCCTGAAATTCTAGCTCCTGGGATCTGATGACCTCTTCTGGCCATGACACACATACACATATGTATAAATAATAAAATACAATCTTAAAAAGCGGCCTGATGGTAGAATGAGATGATGTAGGAAGGTGGTAAGCACAGAGCTTGGCACAGCTCTTCTATTAATTTGAATAATCTGAATGACAAAAATGACCAGTAACACCTTTGTGCAGGCATGTGTGTGTGGTGTACATAGGAGTGCATGCATATGTGTGCATTCGGGTGTGGCCACATGAGGAGACCAGAGGCTGGCATTGGGATGTCATCCTCACTTGCTTCTCCACTTTATTTTTTGAGACAGGAAGCCTGCACTCAACTTGGAGCTCACCATTTCAGCCAGACCGGTTGGCCATGGAGCCCGATTTCTGCCTGTCTGCACACCTCAGCGCTGGGGTGAGTACACCACTGCACTCTGCTTTCACATGGTGCTAGCAATTTGAACTCAAGGCTCTTCTCTGCACAAGTACTTTACCCATGGAGCCATCTCCCAGGTACTCAGTGTCACTTCCTAAGTCTCTTTCCTTATCACTTTATTTACTGAAACTCTCTCCACTCGACTTCCACCCATTGACACTATGTGAGGATGTGAGACCCTTCCTGCACCTTTCTTCCAGTTCTCTGAGCATCCCTCACTTACAGGGTATCTTTCTGGGCCAGCACTGAGCTGCCTGCGTGGTCAGACATCCTTGCTTAGTATTGTGCCTGGGTCTAAGGCAAGAGGTCTCCATCTCCATGCACAGCATCAGGGTTTTTACTATAAAAGCAAAGCCCAGAGTCTCATATAATCAGCGGTTCTTTCACACTTAAAACTATGCACAGCTGCACAGTGGTGGCACACACCTGTAATCCCAGCACTTGGGAGGCACAGGCAGGCAGATCTCTGTGAGTTTGAGGCCAACCTGGTCTACAAGGCAAGTTTTAAGACAAGCTCCAAAGCTACACAGAGAAACCCTGTCTGGAAACAGACAAACAAACAAAAACCAAAAAACTGTACAAGACTACCTGAAAAAGTGGTGGATTCCCTAATACTTGCAGCATTCAGATGATGTTGGGTGACTTCCTAGAAGGGACACTTTGAAGGGGATTGTAAAGTCTACGAGAAGAGACCACATCAGTCCTATAGGGTCAGCAAGGCAAACATAAAGGCTAGCATAGAGACTGCCTGTGTTACTCTTATGCAAAGTTATTGAGCTTTATTCTGCTCTATGCAAAAATCACTTAGGGGCAGAAAACCAGACGGACAGTGCATGCACATGCACATGCGTGCGTGTGTGTACACACACACACACATACACACACACACACACACACACCACTCTAAAAAAAGCTGGCCCTTTGCAAGAGTGAAAAGCTAAGGATTTGGCTACTCACTAAGGCTGGAGAACTGGGATAGCGAAAGGGCATGTGGGCAGCATGGGCAGCAGTTGTCCCTTTCAGAGCTGATGTGCACACAGATGCCAGACCTCAGGTCGCATACCCCACTAGACAAATCGGAACCCACAGTGCCTAGCACATGTGTGGCCCTGAAGAAACAATCATTCAGGACAGAAGTTAGTGTAGAACCCCCTAGTAACCCTCCACATTGATGTGACTTCTCCTTTCCTTCCCTCCCTCCTTTCCTTTTTCTCATTCTCACTCTTGCTTTACACAACATAGCTGAGGCTGGCCTGGAATTCACAGTCCTGCTGTTGTGGCCTCCTAAGCACTGGCATTACAAGTGTACACCACCATGCCTGGCTTCTACCTGTTTTTGAGTAAAGTTAAGCTTATGCAATGTGGGCAATAGGCAGCATTTGTTCAATTATGAAGGATAATGTACAATGCTGTTTGGCAAACCCACATTTGGCACTGAGGCCCTGGCACAAAAACAGGAGAGGCCACAGAAAGATTCCTGAGCTTGGACAGCAGTCAGGGACTCCCAAAGGCCCAGTATATAGCAGGGTGTTACTCAACTGGGGATGTAGTTCAACAGTAGGGTTTCTACCTTGCATGTTCAAGTCCTGGGTTGGGTTCCCAGCATCACAAAGACAAACAAAACCAAACCCAACCAAACCCAAGGCCAGCCATGAGGGACAGATGTAGGCTATCCAAATGACAGGGACAGGAATGAGTAATGCAGTGCTCGTGAAGGGGGCGTGGCCTGTGACCAGAGAAGGGGTAAGAGTGGGGAATGTATGTGAGAGCCTGGTGCCCTTACTGGTTTGCAACCTTCCACACTGTGGGTACTACATCAGTAGTGACTGGTGCATCTGTGCTTATGGTTGTGGTTGGGGGATCCACCAGGATTGGTCCAGACATTCCCTTCAGGTAGGATGTATAGAAAAGCCTGGACTCCATCACCCTGGGAAGAAAGCAAAGGGAAGTAGTAAGTACAAAGGAAAAAATCACATAGCCGATAGCTAGCCAATGTCAGGAGAGTAAATAGTGTCTCCTCCAACAGAAAGGCTTAGCAAGAAATATTTAAACTTGTTCCCATCTTGTCTTGGGCTCCTGAGGCCTCACTTTAACTTGTCCATTCACTATACATGTTATAGAAACCCTCTTTTCTATCAACCAGATACAGAATCCCTACCTGGAAAAGCAACTGGGCCTGAGAATTACTCACCATGCCCCTTGGCTCCAGTCAAAGCCACGATCTTTAGAGGCAGGTGGGCTTCACTGGGAACAACATCCATTCTGCCATAGAGAACTGGGTATACAGTGTAATAGAAGAGCTTCTACCTAGCTTGTGTAAGTTCTAGGTTGGGCTCCCAGCACCACAAAGACAAAAAACTACCTAAGTCTGCCCATGACAGGAATGGCTTGGTTTACTGTCTTCCCTACAGACTAAAAGATGACTGGTCTTAAGGCAGTCACCCTCCCACAAGCTTGTTCCAAGACATCACAAGGTAACATTACTCACCAAGGAAGTCAGAGTTTGATGTGTAATTTAAAAAATAATATCAATAACAGAGAACCGGGTTTGTCCAAATCCTCCTGATTTCTCTCTCCTAATACAGGAGTCTTAAGAGCAGGAAATATCTCCTCAGAAAGGTCTGGCCAAGGTAAGCATCAGTGACAGGATGTCCCATGGGAGCCAGCATCAGGAAGCATGGCTTCCCTGCTACGCCATCCCAGCTCACTATCTATCAGTGAGCAGATGGTTCAGCAGCAGCATCGTCACAAACAATTTTCTCCTCCACCAACTCCAAGTGAGGAAACAATGGCTCTTCGGGCCTCTAGGACTGGCACTTTCTGGGCCCGCCCAGAATCCTGCCTCAGGACCACTGGTGATCTAGACTAGGGCAAGAGGCTGCCTAGCTCATCCTTAGTGTAGGGTGGTACTAATGGCCCCGAGAAGCAGATTTCTGGGTGGCTAGGGTAGCCTTGAGCTCCTTGGCCCCCCGAATTTCTGCCTGCAGGGCCAGGCTGACATCAATCATCTGCCTACAGAGGGCACCAAGGCACCATCTGGTGCCATTTAACAGGCCATTCAGCAGCAGGAGTCTGACAGAGCAGCTGAGGCTGGCTTGATTGTTTTCTCCTGACATTTTGGAATGGGCTATTGTCTGGCTCCTAATGAACTTTTCTGCAATTAGAAAAGGAAAGGGAGGGAAGTTCCAGCGTGTCTGAGTCCTTGCCAGGCCTGCACCCTGTCAGTGAACTCCTCTGTGGACAGAGGGGATGGGTGACATGACCAGGGTGTGGTGTGGATATATAAGAGGCATTCAGGGCCAAGACAGAAACCCTGAGCTACAAGGTTGGAAGTCTTGTCTCACACTGAGGATCAGACAACTGCTTCTCCTACTTGCCCGTTCTTCCTAGAGACCTCTCTAGGCAGGAAGATGAAGTGAGAGGGAGGAGGAGATGGGGGATATGACACTTACACAGGCACTCGGGAGAAAGAGCCATTCCGAAACAGCAGGTAGCACGATGGAAATTCAACGACTCCAAACTTGCTCACCGCATTTCTCTCTGTATTCAAGACCCTGTGCACTGGTATATGGTGCTGGAACAGGTCCAGAGTTACCTGCAGAGACAGCAACGCACGATGGGCTCACCCCGTGGACAGAGAGAGCCTGAGTACTGGCCTGCAGCTCAGTAGGGACATGGTGGGCTAACCCAGTGGACAGAGAGAGCCTGAGTACTGGCCTGCAGCTCAGTAGGGACATGGTGGGCTAACCCAGTGGACAGAGAGAGCCTGAGTACTGGCCTGCAGCTCAGTAGGGACATGGTGGGCTAACCCAGTGGACAGAGAGAGCCTGAGTACTGGCCTGCAGCTCAGTAGGTATGAGGTAGCAGCTGTATTCTATTTAGACTTGAAACCTTGCAGAACAGATAACTGTGATACAGTTCATACAAACCTCAGGACAGAACTACCAAATACTATCGAAGATAAGGGCCTTGGAACTGTGCAGATGTCCTATGGTAGTATCAATCGAATATGGTAAAATGTGGTTTTATTTTTATTCTACTATGTTTAAAGCTTTATAGCTATATCTTTTTAAAAATAATTTAATTGTTTTCTTTTTTGAAAGATTTTTTAAAAAGATTTTATCTATTTATTATGCATACAACATTCTGCTTCCATGTATATCTGCACACCAGAAGAGGGCACCAGATCTCATAACGGATGGTTGTGAACCACCATGTGGTTGCTGGGAATTGAACTCAGGACCTCTGGAAGAGCAGTCAGTGCTCTTAACCTCAGAGCCATCTCTCCAACCCTATAGCTATATCTTAGGTCAGAAAAATATATTGATCAGGCACAATAATTTTGTTTTTAGGGAGAAATAATGGAAAATAGTGTCTCCTGTTATATACTACACTATGTATTAGGATGCCACATTTAATCTTCAGAATAACACTGGGCCAGCAGCCCCCGTCAGGCCTTTACACCACAGCTGTGGTAGGTGAGTCCTGATGTCTTGGGACCAACCTTCCCTTGACTCAACTTCCTTACCTGCAAAATGAAAATGATGACAACAGTAACAAACATCTTAGAGGGCTGTTATGAAGACCGCACTGGTAAAATTCATTAAAATACTTGCAATAGTGGCCAGTACATGGTAGACATATATGTTATTTATAAAAATATATAATTTGAGCTGAATACATGGATCCATAGATAAAGTATTTTCACACAAATGTGAGGATCGGACTTTAGAAGCCCAGAACTCCTGTAAAAGCTGGGGTAACAGTGTGCATCTGAATTCCCAGCATGCCTACGGTGAAATGGGAGGTGGGGACAGGTGAAGCCCCAGAAGCACACAGGCCAGCACAGGCAACAGTGAACAAGAGACCCTACTTCAAATAAAACAGAAGTTAAGGACTGACATCTGAGATTGTCTTCTGACTGCCATGTGTGCACAGTGGCATGCAGGTGCCTGTGTGAACACACACACAAACACACTACACAAATACAGGAAAAAAATTTCACCTGGGTATGGTGGTGCACACCTATAATCTCAGAACTTGGGAGGTGGAGGAGAGAGAGACTGGAGGAGAGAGAGACTGTGGTACCAGGAAGCAGGGTGCTATGACAGACCTGACCATGCTGCTTGTTGACAGAATGGGACTTTGGATTGGTAAAGCAGCTGAACACTTTAAGCTGGCTTAATGGGCCAAACTAGTACGAACGTGGAAGTCAGTGGTGCTGAAAGCAATGTAGATTATGATGGTCCAACACAAGAGGTTTCAGAGGAGAAGGATATTAGTAAATGTCCTAGAAACTGTTCTTGTGATATTTTGGCAAAGAGTTTACCTAAGGCTAAATAAGAGTTTCAGATTAATGGCGTTGGCAGAGAAGATTTCAAGGCAATCTAATATTGACTCTGACATGTGGTTATTAAGGGTCACTCTTAGCAGATCTATAATGGAAAGGAACAAGCTGAGCAAGGAAAAACTATAAAACGTACAGTTTGGAGAGAAAGGGATCACCAGGAAATGTAATGGAGCTGAGTCCATTGCTCAAGGAGAAAAAAGTTTAAAGAAAAGCCTGATGCGAAATGGAATAAAGGGAGTGGTGGCCTCAGCGCAAGACCCCACCCAGCTAAGTTTCCAACTTTTGAAAAGGTTCCAACTAAATAAAAGCTTTAGCAGTGAAGGAAACCATGGAAAACAGGAAGCTGGTGAAAATGCATTTGAATGAGGCGGTTGAGTTCCAGCCCCAGCAAGCAGCAGAACTTGGCAGCGTCAGCTCCGTGGTTCTGGTTTTAGAGTCATGGACACAAGAAATAGGTTGTATGAAATCTCCCTCCGCAGCTAAGGAAAGACTCTGAGGTCAGGTGTGTGGCAGGGGAGTCCCTGTTTGGAGGCCCAGAGGGACCATTTTGTGAAGCTGTGAAGTTGAAGCCTAAATTGCCTTCAAGAGACCCCCAGATGTTGGAGACGCCAAGGGTTATGGGATACCTGCCAAGGAGAGCTGCTAGCAGGGTGAGGAACCACCCCAAGAGAAAGAAGTGTTTTGCAGTCAACCACAGGTAAAAGGAGTTGGAGGTCTGAAGAACACATTGACATCAGACATGGAGATACAGAGTCTGGAGTTTGCTGATGGTTTTTCGGTCTTGATTTGGTCCCGTATTTCCTCATTATGATCCTTTCCCTCTCTTTTGGAATGGTAATATATATTGTATGTGCCATTGCACATGGGAAGTATGTAACCTGATTTTTAAAATTTTGATTCTACAGGAGGCTACATTTAAGAGATAGCCATGAGTCTCAGAAGAGACTTTGAACGTTGGACATTTAAACAGTATCGAGACTGATAAAGACCATGAGGACTTCTGAAGTTGGGCTGAATGCACTTTTGCACTATGATATGGCTAAAGCCCATGGGGGCCAGCGTGTGGAGTGGAATGTGGTGGTCTGAATAAGAATGGCCCCCATAGGTTCATATATTTAAATGCTTAAGGAGTGGCACTATTTGAAAGGATTAGAAAGTGTGGCCTTGTTGGAGTAGGTGTGTTCTTATTGGACGAAGTGTGTCACTGGGGGTGGGATTTGAGGCTTCAAAAGTCCAAGTCATGCCCAGTGGTTCTCTCTTCCTGCTGCCTGGGGAGCAGGATATAGAAGTTTTGTTACTTCTCTACCACCATGTCTGTCTGCATGCAGCCATGTCCCTGCTACGATGACAATGGACTAAACCTCTGAATTGTAAGCCAGCCCCCAATTAAATGCTTTCTTTTATAAGAGTTACGGTGGTAACTTCACAGCAATAGAACACTAAGACAAGGCCTGTCTCAGTTACCTAGCGAGTCATAGGTCTGCCTGAATTATGTGGAACTCTATCTTAACAAAACCAAATCAAACCACATGCTATTCTGTACACAGAATAGACAGTATTAGGAACAGAGTCCTATTTTGTAGCTGAGGAACCATGGCGTAGAACTGAATCCCCTTGTGTGAGGTGAAGAGAGAATTGATTCTAATCAGCATTTGTCAATCATCTGTGTTTGACAGGCCTAACCAAGACACAGATAGGGAGCCCAAAGGGTCAGGCACTCTAAGAAGGCTGCTGGCAGTCTCCCTAACAGCACTCTGAAGGGCTGATAGATCCCAGAGATCACCAATGAGGAAAAATGTCCTGGGTCCACCTTAGTATCTAAGTTCACCTCCTCAGGTTTCTTCTCCCAGCATGGCCTTGGAACACGTAATAAGCATGGGCACACCTAGCTTGCACTGAGAAAGGCTCCAAAGTCATCTGTGGCAAGCCCGTGCACCAGCAGCACAGTGAGTGCTCTCAATACCAGGCACAGTGAGTGCTCTCTATAGCAGGCAAAGAGGTAGATCTTCATAAAGCACCTACTGCACACTGGCCACTGATCCAAGCTCTTACCTACATTGCCTTAGTGAGCTTTCCAATATGAACAGTATAAGTAAACATGACTTCTATTAACAGCTAGGAAATAAGGCTCAGGAAAAGCTGGGCAATCTGACCAAAGACATTCCTTGAACTGATGGAGAAGTGCAGTCTGCACTGCTGGTCAAGGATCCGGTTTCCTTAGATTAATTCTCATGTGTCTGCTTCCCTCATTTTTTCCCTTTTTTAAAGAACCCCAATTCTATGCAGTGAAGGAACAATACGGGTTTCGAGTCAGACTGCTCTCTTCCACATTACTAGCTGTGTGATCCTACACATTTTATCCCATTGCCCATTTATCCCAGTTATCCCAAGTTTAGGGATTAACAGAAATGTGTTGGTATATAGTCCTAGATCCAATAAACAACAGGTATTACTTTTAGTTTCAGAGAGAGAGAGAGAGAGGAGAGAACAGACACTTTTTTTTCTGTTGTTGTTTTTGTTTTTGTTTTTTGAGACAGGGTTTCTCTGTGTAGCTTTGGGGTCTGTCCTGGAACTCACTCTGTAGACCAGGCTGGCCTTGAACTCACAGAGACCCTCCTTCCTCTGCCTCCTGAATGCTGGAATTAAAGGTGTGCGCCACAGCCACCCAGCCAGACACTAAGTTTTTAAAGTGGGAAGGTACCTCTACACTTCCCATATGCTCATCAGGGGGTCAGGAAGTGCCTAGCTACTCAATGTACAAGGACCAGCATCTGCATTGGTCTGAACTGGACAGCATTCTCCCCATGGCCTCTTCTGAGACTCAGGGAAGCTGAGGCAACTCACCTCTCTACCCACATAGGAGTCTTTGTCTTCAAAGATCAGGACCAGGTAATCTTCATTAGTTTCTGCAAAGAATTCATTGATCTCCACCAGCCTGCAATTAGATAAATGGGGTCATTCTTTCCATAGCCCGAGGAAATGAGGTAAGACTCCCAGGGTTGAAGCACTTCCAATGGAGCATGTTTCCCCCATAACCCTGTGCCTCCCTCTGCCAGCCCACCAATGGAAGGACACCAAACCCTTACATCTCAGAGGACGCCACTCATGCTATCTAGCTCTTCTCATTGGACCCACCTTGGGTTTTATTGTTTTATATTGTTCGTTCTGTCCCTTTTGGGAGTCAGGAGTAAACAGGAGGCAGGCTGGGGAGGAGAAATGGTGAGGATGCTGTCAGACCAGCCACCTCCATGTTCTGGTTAAGGCCCAGGCTTACTGAAGATGGTTTTACTGGTTCCCTAAGGGACTGGTGATTAGAACCCATTTAACATAAGCCCTGTTCCAAGGCAAATCATGACAAGTGGGGAGAGTGGCATTTTCCTCTCAGAACAAAGGAAGCAATGAACAGAGCTCTGGGTCAGAAGGATGTGGAAGCCAATGACTCTAACCTCTTCAGCTCAAGGCGAGGAGAGGGAGGCCCAGTCTTCTTAGGAAGAAATGATGAAGAAGGTAAATTCTATCTCTCAACCAGAGAACTAAGATACACGTTATTGTAAAAACTCAAAGAAAATCACAGTCTCTCATTCCAGTGAAAAAGAGCACCCAGCATATATGTAAGAAGAGGACAAGTGACAAGGCACATGGGTAAGAGAATGCATCTTCCTTTTATTCTCAACCTGGTCTCATTTCCCTGCACTTAACCCAAAGACATGGGGCAAATACCTCCAAACAGAAAGAGTGACATCAGGTCAATGCTAGAATCCAACCTGGTGGCATATGAATGGATATGCCAGAGAGGTGGGAATTAGGATAACCCTTTGGTGGATAAAAGAAGTTCTGCGGCAGCCCACAGACAGGGAAAGGATCTTCACCAACTCCACATCTGACAGAGGGTCATCTCCAAAATATACAAAGAACTCAAGAAGCTAGTTTCCAAAACACCAAACAATCCAATTAAAAAGTGAGGTACAGCCGGGCGTTGGTGGTGCATGCCTTTAATCCCAGCACTCGGAAGGCAGAGGCAGGCGGATCTCTGTGAGTTTGAGGCCAGCCTGGTCTCCAGAGCGAGTGCCAGGATAGGCTCCAAAGCTACACAGAGAAACCCTGTCTCGAAAAAAGAAAAAGAAGTGGGGAACAGAATAAATAGACAATTCTCAATAGAGGAATCTAAAATGGCTGAAAGACACATGAGAAAGTGTTCAACAATCTTAGCCATCAGGAAAATGCAAATCAAAACTACTCTGAGATACCATCTTACTCCTGTCAGAATGGCCAAAATCAAAAACACCAATGACAGTTTATGCTGGAGAGGATGTGGAGAAAGGGGAACACTCCTCCACTGCTGGTGGGAGTACCAACTTGTACAGCCACTTTGGAAATCAGTATGGCGACTCCTCAAGAAAATGGGAATGACTCTACCACAAGATCCAGCAATTCCACTCCTAGGCGTACACCCAAAAGAAGCACATTCATACAACAAGGACATCTGTTCAACAATCTTCATAGCAGCACTATTTGTAATAGCCAGAAACTGGAAGCAGCCTAGATGCCCCTCAACCAAAGAATGGATAGAGAAAATGTGGTACATTTACACAATGGAGTACTACTCAGCGGAAAGATACAATGGAAACTTAAATTTGCAGGAAAATGGATGAAACTAGAAGAAATCATTCTGAGAGAGGTAACCCAATCACAAAAAGACAA